TTAAAATATGGCTTTTTACGAATATGGTCTGCTTGTGTCCTCTCACCTCAAGTTTGATTTGACCGATAAATGAAGTAGGATTTAATTATAAAATCCTCATCGTATTTTTGAGGCAAAGTTTTAGTGGTTTGTTTGGTGTTTATAAATAATTAGAGGCACAGTGCACAAAATTCATGCACAGGTCAGTTCCCTAGGCCTGGCTGGCGATCAGGGCCAATCAAGTTCCCCACCTCCCACCTCTCCCCTCATCCTTCCCTCTTCGCCCACGCACTGCCACTGCACGGTTCCCTGCCTCCCGACCTCCGCCCCTCCTTTCCTCACTGCATCTGCCACCACCCACCCCTGGTTCCTAGTCCCAGCCTGGGGCCTGGCCCTGATGGGTGATTGGGGCCTGCCAGGGGGAGGGACTGCCCACCCTCATTCGGGGTGGGGGAGCCGATGGGGGCAGGGCCTGCCACAGGGAGGGGCCGTGGGAGGGTTGGGGGGCTGACCAGTGTCCCAATCAGGCCGGTTGGCTGCCGCAGTGTTCATCATAGTGACCAGTTGTTCTGGTCTCCCCATAGTTCCAGTTGCTTGGCTTTTATACATGTAGATGGCAATTTTCTAAATATTCAGCTTCTCAAATTTATTTGGATTTGCTTCTTGAAGTTAGCATGATGTGGTGTAGTTACTGCTTTTAAATGAGCTTGCAGATTAATGTGAGTTTCTAAGCATAGATAATGCAGTTTCTTGAATCAGTCTTTTCTGTTTTATACAGCCGTGGGCAACCTACGGCCCGCGGGCTGGATCCGGCCTGTTTGAAATGAATAAAACTATTGAAAAAAAGACGGTACCCTTTTATGTAATGATGTTTACTTTGAATTTATATTAGTTCACACAAACACTCCATCCATGCTTTTGTTCCGGCCCTCCGGTCCAGTTTAAGAACCCATTGTGGCCTTCGAGTGAAAAAGTTTGCCCACCCCTGGTTTTATACAACTAAATATTCTGATGTGGATTTTTTGTTTGTTGGTTTGTTTTTGGTATTGTAGCTGCCAAAGGATTACCTGATATGGATTCCTCCATCCTTATACACCACAACGGAGGCATCCCAGCCAACAAAAAACTCTCCACAACTTTGCCAGAGATAGAATACCGAGAAAAAGGGAAAGAAAAGGACAAGGATGCCAAAAAACACAACCTTGGAATAAATAACAACAATATTCTACAACCTGTAGACTCTAAAATACAAGAAATTGAGTATATGGAAAATCATATCAACAGTAAAAGGTTAAATAATGATCTTGTGGGAAGTACAGAAAACCTCTTGAAAGAGGACTCATGCACTGCTTCCTCAAAAAATTACAAAAATGCCAGTGGAGTTGTGAACTCCTCACCTCGAAGTCACAGCGCCACAAATGGGAGCATTCCTTCTTCATCTAGTAAAAATGAGAAGAAGCAGAAATGCAGTAGCAAGAGCCCAACTACACACAAAGACTTAATGGAAAACTGTATTCCTAATAACCAGCTAAGCAAACCAGATGCACTGGTAAGGTAAGTGTGCCTGCTGTGTCCTTACCAACATTTTCCAATAAACTTATCTTAGGTCTTGAAACACAAACACTTCCATATGGGCCTGTGGGGGTTGTTGGTGATCAGACACTATAACTATAACCTGTGGCATTTGACATTGTAGTGTTTATTTCATAAGGCTTTGTTGGCCACGGGGGCCACTGTTCTGAAGCATTGATTCCAGCTCTTTCCAGTGTTTTAAGAAGGGACAGTGATCGCTTTCCACATTTGACATATTTACGTGTAACTTGATTTTCTAATGCTATGGAGGAGCTTATCTTTAGTCTTTGTCCTTTTTGCATATTCAAAGTTCCTGTGGCATAGACACAAAAAGAAGAGTGTGTGTCCTGTTGATGCAAATCTCTTTGTCAGATAGATACCAAAAAGGGTGGTGGAAAATTGCCCTTACCACTCTGTGCTTGATTGTTTTTCTACTTAAAATGCAAATCATTCTCCAAATAACTCTGGGAAAGTTAGGTTTGAAAAATAATCTCTTTCTAAAAGTTCCAGAGGTAAATGCAGTGTTAGACATGGATTTAAATCAGAAATAATTCCTTTTTTCATCTTTAATAAAATAATAATGTTGTATTACCTTGACTGGCTCAGACTTAATTTTGCTGTATTTTATATTTTTGTGTATTCTTTAAAATACCCATGTTCCTTGTACCCTCATATCTTTTAATTTGGAAACTGATATCTGAACTAGAGCTTTTTTAAATATGTAACTGAAGAGGGCAATTGTAACTCCCTGTAAAAGTTACCTTACAATCCTTCTCCTTTGGCTTGCATAAGAACAGTGTATTCTAGGAGAGAAGGTTTCCAGTGTTTTAACTTATATAAACAAGATTATTAATTTCTTTTCATTTCTGATTGGTGGCAAGATTAAGGGAAATATATTTGGGCTCTGCTGCGAAAGGCTCTTGAAATTTTATAGCCCCATCACTTTTGGAAGCACACCCTGTTGTTGCTGACGTCAGGCTGGTGCCCCCATCTGTCTGTTACGACATCATGCTTGTAGAGAAAGCGCTCAGCAGAGAACCCTCCTGTAGATGCCCATGGGAGAAAGACCAATTAGTTGACCTTTTATTTCAGCTATCCCACAGATTTATTATATGCTATAAATAAAAACTTTTGATATCCTTTTGATATCAAGCTTTTTGCTATCCTTTCTCCTATACAATTTTAATAACAGCAGTCAACTCAAAACAGTTTTCCTCTGTTGGGTGTTGCAGAGAGAGCAGTCAAGGCCCAGTCTTATGACACCATCTCACTTGGGCCTCAGTTTTGATTGTTGATTGACTCTACTGCCTGATCTACCTTCAGTAAAGAAGTTCAAGGACTCACTCAGATGGTCAGTCTTCCAGTATGTGGTGGGTCCAGTGCCCCCGTGCCTCTTCCTGTGGTCACTAACGTGATGTGCCTGATCGGAAGGGTCCCAGAATATTACTCTGTTTTAGGGAATACCTTCTATCAAATACATAAGTAGAAAAATATTGTATTTAAATACTTTTATAAGCTTCCATAGGATTATTTTCAACTTTCAATGTAATATAAAAAATAAGGAGATGACCTAAATATCCAACAGTAGGGGATAAATGTAAATAAATTATGGTTCATCCATTTGATGGACTTTTAATATAGGCATTACAGTTATGTTTTTGAGTCATATTAAACAATATAGGAAAGTGCTAATGGCAATATTTTATAAAGAAAGTAGAAAGCAATTTTATTAACAATAATTTTTAAAGACTATACATAGGAAAAGGATTTGAAGGGAGAGAAACCAAAATGATAACAATGGTTATTGCCCCATGGTAGTATTGAGGCTTTATTTTTTCTTTTTACTTTCATGCATTTTCAAGTTTTTTTTATGATGAACAACAATGAAAGTTTATAAAAAGAAGACTATCTGAGTAAATTATCCAGCTTGGCTATAGAAGGTCTTATCACACTTCCTCTCGCTCTTCTTGGCTCTCTCCTGTTTCCTCTTGTTTGACTTCATGATGAATATTAATAAGACCGTAATTGATCCAAACTTGACATGTTTGAGTTGTTAGCTAGAGAGTTAAGCATGTTTGAGTTCAGATGGAGAGGGCTGGACGCAGGCTCCTTCTGGTGCAACATAAACGGCTGACACTGCATATTAGCCCTTTGCTACTGCAGACACGCCCAGGGCTGTGTGCAGGTCCATGCTGGCTGTAGGGAGAATATTGAGCTACACCTTTAAATACATATTTTTAAAAATCTTTTGAAAGCCATTACTGTATTATTAGTAGTAAATTAATTGCAACACATTCTATAGCTGTGTCTTTCTCAATATCATGGTTGAGAAATGCTATATTTGAGGAACCAATTCAGTAGCTTTTCTTAGGTGGCGGGAATTCATTAGTATACTACGTTCAAAGATAATTCTTGTAGATCACTATAGCTGTCAAAATAAGGTTTGATGTTCATTCCCTAAGAAAGGGCAAATAGTCCTTCAGATCTTTTTTCCGTTTCTCCAAGCTCCATGGATGTTCTCTAATGTGCTATATATTAAAAGCGTCAAACAACTGGGCACAGGCCAGATCTGGCCCACTGCCTGATTTTGTAAAACATTTTATTTATTTACATAGTGTCTATGGCTGCCTTTGCACGACAGTGATGGAGTTAAGTAGCTGTAATGGCCTACAAAGCCAAAGGCATTTACTATTTAGCCCTTTACAGAAAACATGCCGATAGATCACTAAGGTTAAGGAATGTGGGTGACGTGGAAGAACTTGGGAATACGTGTTGCCTGTAGGATCCTTCCCAGGAAAAGTTTGGAATTTGCTAAAACCAGGCCAAAGCCCTCTTTTGATTTGAGAAATATGTATCTTACAAAATCACTTAATTCTGCCAGCTTGGTTTCTGAATCCTTTACCCAAGGTATTTAGCAACAGACTTACAGTGTTGGTAGCCAAAAATATTTTTAATTCTGACATGTGAAAAAATTCTAGACAAAAACAGAAAAAGCAATGAGAAAGATCAGTTTTTTTGTTTTGTTGCTGTTGTTTTTGTTTTTCAACTAAGTGCTGGGTTAGAAAAGAGCGATGTAAATTAGAATGAGAGCCCTAGACGATTTGGCCGTTGGACTGAAGGGTCTGGGGTTTGATTTCCATCAAGGATTGTACCTCAGTTGGAGCCTTGATCCCTGGCCCTGGTTGGGGATTGTGCTGGAGGCAACCAGTCATTGTGTCTCCCTCACATTGATGCTTCTCTCTCTGTCTCTCCCACTCCCTTCCTCTCTCTCTAAAAATCAAAGGAAAAATATCCTCAGGTGAGGATTAACAACAACAAAAACATTAGAAGGAGATTTTTTCTTCAGTGGTGGTTTAAAAAATACTTTTGGTGTGAAAAAATTATAGAAAATTTAGGTAGAGAAAAGGTGAAAATAGTCCCACCACTATGACACTAATTACTGTTAAATGTTGTATTTTCATCACCTACATTTATATAATTGTGGCCACAGTGTTTGTGTAGTTTTTTGTTCTGCTTTTTTTCACTTAAATCATATAGAAAGCCTTTTCCCAATTTAGCCTAACCCTCCTTTTCACTTGATGTGGAATATTCCATGGCGGGTCTGTGCAATCATTCAGCAGTCACTCTGAGACTGGGCCAATCACTGTGGGACACCCGAGCTGCTTTCCTGCAGGCAGGAGAGCCAACAGTTTTGTTTGCACTTGGCACAGAGTTCCCTCTCAAATACAGCTGCAAGACTGTGGGGTTTTTTGTTGGTGATTGTTACTTGTTTCAGTTTTCCTGGTTAAGAGAGAGAATTTAAAACTTTGAGGATAAAATGTAAAGCGTTCCATACTCTATAGAAGTATTAAAGTAGAAGTCTCTTCTTGGTTCATTTCCATGCCACTTTTTTGGTGCCCAAGACAGAAGATTCATCTTTTTTATATTTAGTGCTAATTCTTAATAAGACGTCAATTATTTAACTTAGTTGAATAATGTCTGGTGAGAAGTCATAAAGGAAAAGTATCCACAGTTTGCCTAGTAGAAATGCATTCAACAAAACGGAGTAGAATTTAGAATGATGATTATTTTTTTTCTGGAACTGCAAGAGATCTAAAAATCTACACCAGCCTCCTCAACCCTTTTTAGCCGTGACGTTAATGAGCCTCAGAAGGTTAACGGCCAGTCCACGTGACCCAGTTCGAGTGGTGGTGCCAGGTCCAGAACCAAAGTTTCTTGACTTCTGCCTTTTCTGTTATACCATGCTGCTTAGTAGAAGTTTATTGATCGCCTTCATTTTTCTGCTTTACATTTTAGTTTTAGCTTTAAATGCACATATAGATAAAGTTGGTTCAAGGGTTGGCACCAGAGCTAGATTTTATGCTCCAATGGTTAACATTTATAGAAGAAGAAATGCTTAGAATTTAAGAATTCATTTATTTTTCTTCTAGAGAGATGCTGTTCTAAGTGTTTTAAAAGTCTTGCTCCTGCTAAAGACACAAGTGCATACTTATCTCAAAAGATAAGGGGACCACCCTTGAGAGCTTACACCCTTGAGAATTTAACTCTGGTTAGGTCTAGCTTGGGAGTTAGTCTGGTCCAGACAGCCTAGACACACTGAGCAGGGAATTTGCCTTTTAGGGATAATTATAAGGGTAGACAGCAGCAGACCTAAGAACCTGAACGGGAAGAATTTAAGACAAGGGATAGCTTACCCTGAGGAGAGCCCATCATTGGCTGCTTGGAAGACCTCTGGTCCTGGGGTCTGGACTTTGCTGAGATAGTAAGTTCCAAGAAAGTTTGAAGCCATTGAATGGGGAGAGGGGCCTGTTGTTCAGAGGAAATTTGAAATCTGGAAGAAGTTGTAGTATATCAAATACTCGCTCTTTTATCTCTCTCTAAATTCATTTGGTTATTTCAAATACTAAAATATTGTTACTTATAACTTAGTTTGTTTATACAATTCTGCTTATTTGGAGACCTGAGAGGCTGGTGGGGTTGAG